TGTTTGTGTTGTGTTGTGTTGTGTTGTGTTGTGTTGTGTTGTGTTGTGTTGTGTTGTGTTGTGTTGTGTTGTGTTGTGATGTGATGTGATGTGTTGGTGTGTGTGTGTGTGTGTGTGTGTGTGTGTGTGTGTGTGTGTGTGTGTGTGTGTGTGTGTGTGTGTGTGTGTGTGTGTGTGTGTGTGTGTGCGTGCGTGCGTGCGTGCGTGCGTGCGTGCGTGCGTGCGTGCGTGCGTGCGTTCGTGCGTGCGTGCGTGCGTGGGTGGGTGGGTGGGTGTGTGTGTGTGTGTGCGTGGGTGTGTGTGTGTGTGTGTGGTGTGTGTGTGCGTGTGCGTGTGTGTGTGTGTGTGTGTGTGCGCGTGCGTGCGTGTGTGCGTGTGTGTGTTGTGTTGGTGTGTGTGTGTGTTGTGTTATGTGTGTGTTGCTGTGTTGTGTAATGTGTGTTGTGTGTTGTTTGTTGTTTGTTGTGTTGTGTGTTGTGTGTGGTGTGTGGTGTGTGCTGTGTGGTGTGTGGTGTGTGTTGGTGTGTGTGTGTGTGTCTGTGTGTGTGTGTGTCTGTGTGTGTGTGTTTGTGTGTGTGTTTTTGTGTATTTGTGTGTGTGTGGGTCGGTGTGTGGGTGGGTGGGTGTGTGTGTGTGTGTGTGCGTGTGCGTGTGCGTGCGCGTGCGCGTGCGCGTGGGCGTGTGCGTGGGCGTGGGCGTGTGCGTGTGCGTGTGCTGTGCGTGTCCGTGTGGGTGTGGGCGTGGGTGTGGGTGTGGGTGTGTTTGTGTGTGCCTGTTTGTGTGTTTGTGTGTTTGTGTGTGTGTCTGTGCGTGTCTGTGTGTGTGTGTCTGTGGGTGTGGGTGTGGGTGTGAGTGTGTGTGTGTGTGTCTGTGTGTGTGTGTGTCTGTGTGTGTCTGTGTGTGTGTGTGTGTCTGTGTGTGTGTCTGTGTGTGTGTCTCTGTGTGTGTGCTTGTGTGTGTGTGTGCTAGTGTGCCGCGCCGAAGTGAGTGAAGGAGAACCAACTTGAAACCTGGCATTGGAAGGGTGGTGTGAAACGATTGGTACTGGAAGCTGTTCTGGCGAAGATCCGGAAGTTGCCCCTGGTGTGTTGTTGGTATCCTGTTTGGGGTTGGTTCAAACACGCTTGTGGGCTTTGGCTTAGGATTTCAAGGGTATGTTTTGCCATCTAAGATTCCGGGTGTGTGTCTTGTCAGGGTTGGTTTAACAGGGGACCAAAAGAAACCATTCCTGTTTTGACGTACTCGAATCGTAGGTCAGCGGGCATGTTCCGAACCGTGAGCTTGAAAGCCGCCTGACCCGGGCGAAAGGTCTCGCTGTACGAAGCTTTGCCACTGAACTGCGAGAGCTCAGGCTTGAAACAAAGTGGAAATGCGTCACAGTCAAAACCCGGTACACACATGGTCGACCCAGAACCATGCTTCAAGAACTAAGAAGGCGGATCTCCGCAGCTATTTATGGCTGGGATCGTCCCAATAAGGGTGTCCTGTTTTCCTTTTCTTCTATTTTAGTAGGGAACCCTCCCCCGAAAAAGGGGTGACAAAAGGCACTACTGGGGGACCTAGATATCCCCTGCCGCCTGTCACTTTTCAAAACACGAGCCCAAGGCCACAGATCCCCTCTGAGCCTCAGTCTGCATTTGCCAGAGCCAGTGGAGTGTCAGCTCCCACCTGACAGCCAAAGTCTTCTCGGTTCCCGTGTACATGGGCATTAATTAAGTGAGATCCACTGACCCTTCCGAATGGACCAGAGACAAAATAGCTTGACCCAACCCCTGACGATGTTCTATTTTCCCCTGTTGGTGTCTTGGAATCAACCCTTAGATCATCAAATCGTTCTTCTGTATGTACCCAAAATGGAATCCTGATAAATGGAAACATGGACTAAAACCTGCGGCTTCCTGGTGGTTTAATTTCGACCCATACCCAAATCGTTGCTTCTGGCCCCGTTTTGGTCGCGATGGGCCGCACCTTCCGGCCGCATCTGTTCGCCGAGGAGTTCCGCGCGTGGAGCGTTCTTAAACCCTAGGGTTCAACCCCCATTAAAAGAAAGGTTGACCCACTTTGGATGATGACAATCCTCGGGAAAACCATGGTGGCTATATGAACCCCCATTGTTTTAATGGTGGTTTGAACCCCAGGGTAAACTTGCGGGGCAGCTCTTAGGCCGCTTTTCAGGGGCCGTTGCCTCTCTCTGGAACCGGCATTGGACAATTCTGGCCACTGTACGGTCACGTTCTTTCTAGCACGAATCGAAAACAACACCACCGCCAGGGCAACAAATGCGAAACTCCGAGACTCAGCTCCGCAAAACCGAGCTTCAGGCTGGCACGATGCAGCAAACATGGCGGCCTTAGGGTGAGCCGTCAATTTCTCCAGTGGGTCATGGCGCCCGGAGAGTTTTACCTGACCGGAGTCATTGGGGCTATCAAAGTCAGCAACTGGGGGTGTTCCCCTTTGAGCTATCACTGAACGAAGGTGACTTTGAGAGTGGTGAAGCAGTGGGGGCGGTATCATGCTTGCCTAAATTCCCCTATGACTGAGTTCATAATCGCTAGCCTCCAGTAAAGGGCCTTTTGACCATGGCACGCATCATCACATCGCTAAGCACCAAACAGCAGTTGCCACGCTGGAGGGTCACGGGGAAACCAGGGCTCATCTCGGTTGGTAATTCACTCAGTCTCCCAATGCAATTCACGAATACCTCTCTTCCCGGCCAATGCAGTGGGATCACTGGCAACACGTGTTTTAGCACACATTGGTGCAGGACCTTCCTGGGTGGTGACCTGACTTTACCCTGCAAAAGGTTTTGGGGAAAACCAGAGGAGACCAAGTGGACCGTTTCCTGATTGGGTGCGTCATTTTTGTTAGGCCGGACCCCCAAAATTGGTGTGTGTTTCCTATTGGAGTCGTTCAAAACCACCCCAAAAAGGGTTAACCGCAGGTGCGGGTTCCGCTTTAGAGGGTTCAGAGGTTGCTTTCGGGGCTTGCGATAGGTCTCCGCATTCCTGCAGGTTGCTTTCGGGGCTCCAAGAGGTTCCGAGAGGTTCCGAGGGCAAATGACAGGCATGGCATGGCTGACCACACATCGTGAAGAGAGAACCAGGGCGCGAAAGGGGTTGCCTGCAAAGTATGCGTGCAAAACTAGAGCATGCAAGTGTTCAACTCTCGGCAAACTCCTTGAATGCGTAAGCAGGATGCAAAACAACAACTTCGACTGCAAAGTACATACAACGTGTTGAAACATGAAAGCTCACATGGAACAGGGCAGAATGACCCTTATACCTTCTCTCTCGACTACACAGTGCAGTCTGACATCACACTTCACTTGGCGTCCCCGCATTGTAGCTCGACCTGATACACGGCGGATGGACGAGGGATTCTTTCCAGTAATCAAATCCGTTGCTTCCCACACCTGGTTTGTCCTGGTGCTGGCGCTGCTGCGGCCGCAACACTGCTGCTGCAGCTGCTGCAGCCGCCGCTTCCGCTGCCAGTAGTGCTACTGGTAGTAGAAAGGACAGTGGTAGTGGTAGCAGTTCAACTGGTAGTGGTAGTGGTAGTGGCGAAGAAAATGAAAGCGGTGGCGGACATGGTCATGGTCATGGTCATGGTCATGTCATGGTCATGGTTGCGGATGTAGACGTGGTGATGGTTGTGGTGGTGGGTGGGAACAGCGGTAAGTAGGAGGAGGCATAGCAGTTAAACCCTGGGGGATGGATTGCGAGGGAAGTGGACCTACCCTTGATCTACCTAAAGGTGGGAGGGGAGTATGAAGGTGACACCATTGCCTGCGTAGGAAAAGCAAACTTGTTTTGCCTCCAATGGAACACTATTGTCGACTTGAGATAAACATAAGCCAGACCATAACCAGAGGAATACCCCGCCCTAAAATGTATTAACCCCCTTTCGAACTCCTGAGTATCGTGGTCTTCCAGAGCACTTGGAAGCTGACATTACTCAGCTCCCTAAACCCAGGAGTTGTATAAACGTTTCCTAGTGCAATCAATCAAGTAAAGGGCAGACATGTAAGATGTTACAAGATGTTGACCCAGTTACCTTCTTGTAGTCCTGAACACTTCAGAGTGCTCGGAAGTAGTACTTGGAAGTTGACACAACCAAGAAGTAACCAGGCTCAACATACTAGAAGGGCCTCAATAATTAGAATGGGGTCGGGGAGTACTACAAGATAAAACTAGCATGCCACCTCTTTTTGGTTGTAAATAGGACTACCAACCCAGTAACCCGATTTAGGATGTTCTAAACCCCATTTACAACGAAACAGAGGCGGCCTCAGATCATTTGTTTTCACAGCTCAGATCCCGGGCGTTGTGGCCCTCGATGCAGCACCTTTGGCGCGTCTTTGGGGTGAAGGTGGCTCTTCTTTTGCCCGCGACCAGCAAAAATATGATTGTTTCTGATCCATATTTGTTGAACCTTGAAGCATCAAACTAGTAAACATTAATATAACATGATGTCAACAGAGATCCTAGCCATATCTAGACATCATCCTGTTACCATTATTGTCATTGAGGCTTTCAACGGCTGATTGGGCATGACGTTTCGCGGGCAGCTGACATCTCAAAGACGCATGCTACTTGTGGGCCGCCACGCGACAGGCCAGAAAAGCCGCTGAGTCAATGCATACACCCGTCACTCATGGCGATTTTGGATTTTGACTCCAGTCCCTGGCGCGATCTGCGCAAAGGCAATCAAAGTCAGCTTCCCATCGTGCTTTGGGAGGAGGTTGCGCTGGCGCGACGAAGGCAAGCAGCGCGTCTCGGAACCGAGAACTCCCGGCTTCCGGGGGGTGTGCAGCTTTGCTTGGGAGCGTTCGGACGGGTGCGAGTCTTTGGCCCCAGGCCCTCGAAAGATGCGCGGACGGACGGTTGGGACAGCCTTGGTAAGTTCTCTTGATATGTGGCTTTCATGTCCTAAGATGTCTTAAGGCTCTTGGGGCGTGGCTTTCTTCATGTAAGGAGTGATACCGTCAGGGGGTTTTACCA